TGCAGTTTCGACCTCGCATCGGTCTTATCAACACCCTCAGCGGGAGTCGAACCGCGACAGTGCAGGATACACTAACCACTCGGATACACTGCCACGAGCCCATTTTGGGTCACAGGGCAAATGTAAATTTTCAAGGAAGGCCAGGCCTTTTTGTCATTTAATATTCTTTTTTGCTGGAATTGTCGATGAAGCAAACGTATATTTGCTATAACAATGGACTACTATACTTTATTTTTCGAATTAAGTATTGTTTTCGTGACTATCAGTAAATCAGTGGGAAAATTCTTCTTCTATCAGTCCTTCATTCCCTCACACGAAATTGGGTGAATACATCTCATAAAGACAGTTTAACTTGAATGGGATGGGTTGTAACTCAAGCAACATAAGCTAAGAGAGGAAAGATAAAGTCTCCGGCCTGAAAAAAAAGTTTCAGTGTCATTCAAGAGATTTCCATGGAAAGATGAAGATGTCATACCTCTTGGTTGGTATGGGAAAGGTCAGGAGCGGATTCTTCATGCAGAAATTTTATTTCAAGTTCAACCGGAAGAGCTCAACTTATATGGAAGACATATGGCCCCATTATAATGTGCACATAAAACCATAAGGTAATGTGCACATTTTGATAAATTAAACTTTTTCATTAAGAGTGCGAACGGCTCCAAAAGCTCGTTTTCATTTATGCATTGTGAGTATGCTGTAAAAGAGTAAGCAAATCCTAAATAAAGTTTTTGGATTTCCTATGTCACGTAAACTGATGATAGTTGAACTCGCACATTTAAATGAGTTGCCCTCGATAGGTCGTAGAATTTCGCATGGCCTAGCCTCCTAACTAGTACTTTACACCTCGACTGCCCCAATGAAATTATACTCAAAAGGGCAGATGGGAATTTTGTGACTAGCCTAGCATCTCCTAATTCACCCTTATAGTGGGATCATCACAGTTGATGATACTACTTGATAAGCAATGAGTAGTTTTCGATACGGTTATGAATTCTGTTGTAGGTGTGGACAAGGCTCAGGTGAGATCAAGACTTTGTAACTACAAGTCTGCACGAAAATCAACGGAATCAAGAGGTTTCTTTCCTTATTTGTGAGATATTCACTATAAGCGACCTAAGATAACAGAATTCATTTTTGAGCCCAGTCTAATTCTTGATATTCATTTGTCTAAATTGTGTCTAGCTCACAGGTATCCCTTCACTTCTGGGGACCAGCATGAATCTGCGTACCAGATGGCTTGTTATTCTCTCTTTTCTGGCTCAAAGAACTCACCCAGACGCACAATAAACGGCCACTTGACCACACAAGTCAACAACAACACACGCCACACTTTTGTTGGTCACCAGAATGATGAGCCTTCGCTTCGTCGCATAGACCTGGGATCCAGGAAAGAGACACTGGTTGTACCAGGCTTGGGTGGACCTGAAGTAGCTGGCCATCGAAACGTCCCACCGTCTGAACCCGGCGCTCCGACTGTCTACCCGATGAGTCGATTCGGGGCCGGAGACAACGACGCACGGAAGGTGGATCGTGTAAATTGCCTGCAAGGTCATTTTCGTGGACGGTACTCGGCAGAAGTGCAGTCTTCGTCACGATGGCCAGGGAACCGAGGAAAGCGGGAGACGCCGGTCTCGAATCAAGAGGCGTTGAAAGATCGCGGCTCTGTCCAGTCGACAGAAATGCTTCAGCATCGAAATCCCCGGTACACGCGACGTCTTGAACACAACCACATAAATGGCTCCAACCAATCCGAAGGTCAGAGAGCCAACCACTTTTTACGGACCTCCAACAGGCATTGCTTCACAGAAGAACAGCTCGGACTCACCACGACTTCGTTACCCCTTAAGCCCACATTCTGCAGCCAGTCAAGTAAAACAGACAAACCTCATGAACAAGTTGGCAAGGAAACTAGAGCTTCGGGCAAGTGTAGTCAAGCCGACATTTTACGACTCTATATTACTGCATACAAAGTTATATTACATTAAATGAGGTTTTAAAGATTGTTGGAGAGGCATTTATTTCACATAAAAGTGCATGAAGAAGAAAATTGTAAGTTGATTTCACCAGAAAACGATGATTAAATCTCGTTGTACTGCAGCTGTTCAGGTTGACGCAGTCCACGAGATATTTCCTGCCTCGCTTCGTGTGAAAATGGGCACATTGACATCATCATAGATGGAACTTATTCTTGTAAAAGTCCCAACTTAACACGAGGTCAATAAGACTGACCAGCTCTATCTTATTATTTAATATTCATAATTTAATACGAATATGTAATGACATAGATAGATATAGAATTGATTTGGCTATAATAATGGCACTTTTACTTGAGTGTGCGTGTTTGTATGTGTGTTATAGTAGAAATGCAAGACGTGAGACTTTTACAAGAATGAGTTC